TTTATAACGAAAGGTAAATTTCACCTACACATTATTTGTATAAAATAAAAGTCTGGTTTTATCCAGACACCGTATAATACAGTTTGGACACCGGTCATCATTTCCAGATGAAGACTGGGGGGGGGGGGGGGTAAATTGTTTGAAAACGTATGACAAATAGTGAGTTAACAGAACACAATTTTTATGGGAAACAATCACTGGTTTTATTCTAATAGCACGACGTTTCGACAAGTATCCTCTTATCGTTATCAAGCACAATGAGGATAAGAGGATACTTGTCGAAACATCGTGCTATTAGAATAAAACCAGTGATTGTTTCCCATAAAAATTGTGTTCTGTTATTGTGTACCCCAATCACTAAATGCCACTTAAAGATTAAATAGTGAGTTAGTTGCTCGGCTCTTAGGTAGAGGATTTTAGGGGATTTTAACACAAAATTAAGCTGTTTTATTCTACAAAATATTATCGGGATTAGCCGTTTAAATTTTTTAATCTCGTGGTTGTTTAAATCCATTTATATCCCGACCATCCGATTGTTGATTATAGGAATGTCTAAATAGTAATTTATATAACATTTGAAGTCAAACGAAAGTCATGCAATGGGCAGATTTAGTTCTTATAATGCATCTTTAAATTGCTTCGTTTGTTCGTGAACCAGTATGTGAGTCATATATTGTTTAATCATTAATATTCTTAGTTTAACATATTTACATATTGCATCTTTGTTATAATGATTTAACCGGTACGTTAATTAAAGCCTCTTTAACGCAAATCCCTGGTCATTTGGAGACCAATATATATGGTCAAGGGGAAGAATGAGGGTTAGCAGACATTCCTGGTCAGCTAAAATACCACCCCTGTCCAGTGAGAACATGACTCGAAATATTCCAAATTTATAAATGACAATATGACCTATATCTTTGCAATCACAAATCTCTAGAATATCAAATATTCGGTTTAACAAATGTTGGTTGTTAATGCTGATCGTCAGAGAACGAGGAACGCTTCTCACATACTTCTGTAATGTAAAGTAATACCGTATGTATAAAGCATTAGAAATTAAACACGGTGTGCTGTCCCTTGGCGCTATTACATTAAAAAACACAACTAATAACTCCGATAAAATTTGGGAAAATCTGTGTGTCAATTGTGATTTGTGGCGCATGTAAAATTCAAATCCATCAGCTAAAACCTCAGTATACACAACCAACAAAAATCTCAAATTTACCACGTCTCATAATAACAGAATAAAACTTGAATATTTTATTATTTAAAGGGGGAGAGGCCCCCAGCTGGATCCGCCTCTGCAGTTATACGTCTTCTTAAAAATATATACATATATACAGAAGCTATTTAACATAATTGTCATTCTTGCACAACTGTGTTATTTTCATTGATAACTAGTTTGTCACGTGATGTGTTGCGTTTAAACTGACCTCTAGTTTTAAATATTTGAATAAAAGAAAGAAAAACAGAAGGTTGACATGTTTGATCTAAGAAAACGTAGACACCAGTTGTTACCTGGTCCAGTGATACCAGTTGTTACATGACCCAGTGACACCAGTTGTTACCTGGCCCACTGAGTAACATAGACACAAGTAACCTGGTCCAGTGAATAACATAGACACCAGTTGTTACCTAGCCCATTGAGTAACATAGCCACTGGCCCAGTGAGTAACATAGACACCAATTGTTACCTGACCCTGTGAGTAACATAGACACCAGTTGTTACCTGACCCTGTGAGTAACATAGACATCAGTGGGTAACGCGCTGACTCTCTAACTAGGAGGACCAGCATTCGGTCCCAATTTTGGTCCAGAAACTTTCCCTTCTCAATGGAGGGCCTGGTAAGGTGGCCAGGTCGCTCGGGAGGGGTTAAAAGCCAAAGTCGCGCGTACATGTTGGTATGCACGTAAAATAACCCTTCACAGTTGGGATTCAATTGCTGTTCGGGAAAAATTCGCTCGCAGCACACACTATGGCGTATGCCTGTCATCATTATCCCGGTTGGTGCAGAAATGTAGGACGGACGTTAAACCCCCATTTCATTCAATGACTGCTTCTAAATATATTGTACATGTAACCAGGGGCCTATAAGGGCCTTGTGGATTTTTTTTCGAGATACGGGGTGGGTGGTTGGTCTAACGCGTGCGCTTTAAATCATAAGGTCTGTCAAGTGGTGTGCTTTCGATTCTCAGCTTGTACGTGCCCTACCACCATCGGTTTTCTCCAGGTCCTCCGGTTTCCTTCCAGTGTAAAAGACCCCTACGCGCAAGCGAATTATTGAAATAAAGCTGAACCACATGTTAGTCCCGAAATATTTGACGGGCTGAAAAGTGTTTCTGTTCGGATTTAAAGTAGGTCTACAAGTAAGGGAATCTGCAAGATGGAACACGATTAAAAGTGAAAGAAATCATTTTAGTCTCAATATATTATGGTGTGTGGACTATATACGTTAAACTCATTTTATTTTAACTTTCGTTCCTATCAAATGTGAGGCGGGCGGGGGAAGGAAGGGCGGAAGGGGTGGCCGAATGGTTAGCGCGTGTGCGTTGTATCATAAGGTCTGTCATTGAGTCAACTGGCGTGGTTTCGATTCCCCGGTTGTACGTGACAAGGAGTAGGGTCGCCTGTCCAACCTATGCGCAAGCGAATTATTGACATAAAATTGAACCATGAGTTAGTCCCGAAATGACCTAGTTTGTTTCGAGTGGACGTTAAAAAAAACTCTGAGAGTTTGAAATAAAAGGCGTAGCTCCGCCGTCATGGCAAAAATGTCCTCCCATCATTATCCCGGTCGGTGCAGACAAGTAAGATGCTAAACTTCATTTCGTATCAAATATATTTTTCCTGTAGACCTAAAGGCATAGGACGGAGGAGTTGGCACGGAAAAACGTATTGTCTTTCGGTTAGAACGCAAAATCGAGGTCCTGTAGTACACATTGCCGTATTCATTAGTCGGGGTAGAACAGTACGACGCTAAACCCCAGTACATTTCCATTTCAATGTAAACCTCACATTTCCCGCTTTATATATTCAATTGTACACCTGTTAACATTCGAAGTTTTCGCATAACTTGTAATATTGATGTATAATAAAGATAATGCCTGCGTGTGTCTTGTGAAATATTTATGCCAATGAAATATAAACAAGACAATATTTTAAAGTGCACACGTAATATTGATGTTTGGCAAACATGACTTGGTTACACTGAATGCCACGGGTCATGATAAAGGTTACACAATCGAAACTTAGATATTCTGCAATAAAACCAGTGATAGTGGATTATTTTCTTAGTCGTAGGAGCCGGGGGCGCCCAAGCCCCCCCCCCCCCCACACACACACACACAAACACACCCACCCCAGATACGGTGAACCTTCCATTTTTCGGGTAATGATAACGAGACCACATATCATAGAAATATAATTATATAATTGTAAAGTGAAATCGCCCACGGTTTACTTTTTGAATACTACATGTAATTCGAGTGACAAAGAAAATTTTCGGGCCAATTAAGATTGCCCCCCTAGATGCTTAGATGGTTATTTTCATTCATATAATGAACATAGCAGAAATAAAAAGAAACTATTTATTATTCTAACAACTGCTCTACGGAAACGACACAAAAAAAACTCCCCCGTGATCTTAAAACTAGACGTTTGTTTATTACTGTATAGTCTATGAATGCATCTATTGTTTATTGTTTACACCACAACAGATTGTGGATTTCACCTTGTTTACCAACAAGTTAGTAAAATCTCCCAAACCGCCTTTGATTATGTCCTCAATAAACAAACGACAGTTGCAGGGAATCAAACTGTATTTTACTTCTGCCCTTTCCCGTGGGATGATCACATGACACGCATTCTTCAAGCTATTTCAAATTTGAGCATTATTTAGGATAGAATCAACATATTGATGAGAAACGACAACGAGAAGTATCGTAGGATAGGAAAGAAGAAACGAACCTGGTTCAAGGACGTATTTCTAAATGATGTAACTCAATACTACAATCAAGTCCATCATCGCCTAAATTAATTACTAATTGCTAAATAAGGCCACCCCAATTTTAAATTTTTGATCATCAGTAAATTAATATCACTGATAGGGGTGACATCGGGGTGAATTAATTAGCTCTCAATATTTTTTTTATCTGCAAATTAAATACTAAATCCATTTTTAAATTATTAGAAAAATAGATAAAGGTGTTTGAAGTATATCTGGATAAAAAAATAGTTCGTAAAATGAGTAAAAGGCACCGAATCTGCCCGGACCGGTTTGTATTACTACATCGGTGTAAACAATGTCCGTGTTATCGACGCCATAATATGCTGTGACGTCACACATAGATCTATACTGGAAGTGACTTTAAAGGTCAGTCCTCCTGTACGTAGTTAAAAGAGGGCTTTCTGTGAAAGCGATTGCATTTTTTGTAATTGCTGAAGACGACACAGATTTGACATTTGCTATTTGTGAAAACTATTTTACTTGGAATTTTAAATAAAAAAAACAGTACGTGTTTGCTCCTTTCAATATGATCTGACTTAACTGTTAACAACAGTTTTGTGAAGGGATGGGGCGTAATACCCAACCCACTTTTAGTGTGAGAGATGGTAGTAGCAATACAATGGAATTGGGGTTTATGCCCTATTTCGCTGAACCGACGGGGTTAATGGAGAAGTGGAGGCGGCAGTAGAGCAGAAAAGGGAACTTGAATCTCGACTAGACTGACACGTGGTCGAAAAGATGGATAATTCGTCAAGGAGAAACACATTTGTAGCTGAGAACAAAAATATTGTCTAGTTGTTCGGATAGAACGAAAAATTGAGGTCTCTCACCGAGCAGATTAACATTTTCTAATGTTAAATTTAAATTGTACCGGTACCGGTTTTATTACCACACCCGTAGACCCTTTCTAGGACAGAACACCTTGCATCACATCCCAATATGACGAGTTCTCAATCTTCTGTACTTTATTATTATTGTTTTTTATTTCAGGCGAGTTCATTGTACCGAGTGCCATTACAGCAGATTTAGATGAAACGGTTATATTAGAATGTCGATTAGAGGGCAACTACAGATGGTACGCCATCTCATGGCAAAAACAAGCAGAAGATGGAACATCAGACATTATCGTCACACTTCCAGTTGATACCAAACAACCAGACTGGAACAATCAGATGGACGCCTACTATAGACAGAGATATGAACCGATTATAAATAGCAACGCCGATGTACTGGAATTCAGCTTAAGAATTAACGGATTAACGTGCGTTGATAGAGGAATTTATTCATGTAATGTTATGGGTAATTTCCCTCTCAAATCTAAATCAACAGAAGTTACCGTCACATGTAAGTTGAATTGTGTTTGGGTTGACGAAAGGTCATCAAAAGGCCTTTTATTGGGTCAAGTGGGGCGGTTTCGATACCCCAAGCGCAAACTTGAAAGCGAAATTTTACCATATGTTTGTCCAGAAAGACCTAGATTATGTAGAGTGGACGTTAAATATCATTCCTCCCTGTCCCCGTTCCAGTCCTCCTCACCGCTTTGTTCAGTGCCCTTTGTAAGTTTGTCGATACATTTGTATTCGGAGGACATCCATAGTCGGTACTTGATTGGCCCCAGATCTGATGTACTGAACGAAAGATTACTATCAGGGAGCCATGTTGGCTCGGGAAGTTTGATGCTGGTGCACTGACCAGCAGGCCCACATTCGAGGGCCTATAAAGATAAGACTTTCCCTTGTCAGTATTGCAGGACGACGAGGCCGTGTATACCACCACCAGCACGTTAAAGATCCCCCTGACAGTTGGAAATAAGAGGTTGTAACACTGTTGTCCTGACAATTATTTCCCTTCTGGCACATTGCATGACGTATGCCCGCCTTCCTTCGCTGGATTGGTGCAGACCAATAAGGTTTTAAACCCCATTTCATTTTAGGCTGTGATTTAGCCCCGATAATCGTTTCATCTCGTCCCAGCAAATTCCGGGTGAAAATCTGACGCTTTGTTACATAATTTAACCAGTAGGCCGTCACTGTCGCATACTTTTCTGTTCCGATGCATTGCACAATACGTCGTGCACTCGAATTACGTCTCGAACTATATTTGTCAAGTGTAACCATAATCGGGTGAAAAAATCAAATTCTAAGCCAATCAGAAACCATAAAAGCAAAGATCGTCATAGGTCAAGGGTCAATAGCCATAAATAGACCAGTGAATACCTTTTATGAGACGGAACACGTTGGATTGTTTACATTTGTCTGAGAGATTTCTCTGCAAATATGCCGGGATTACTGGATAATATCACCTGTTAAATGTTGCATTGACACGGTAAAGGCGACTTACCCCTGATCTGTGGCATAAATATGGCCAATAATTAGGAAATAGCACCAATGATTGAATGAATCTTTTATTTTCTACAAACAAGTATTTCTTCAAAACTATTTCAGTGAAACAATATCCAAGAGAAATATATACTTTTAACAGATGAAAACGATTTTGGCATGCTTGAAATACTGGTTCGGTCTTATAATTATATATAATGCTAAGAAAAAACAAAAATAATAATACCATGTGATCTAATCGATACAATTAATAATAATTCACCTTCATCAATTTTACTATTTTTTTAAAACGAGAAAACAATAGACTTATTATTAGAGTATATAGAGAGAGAAATGGGGTTTAACTTCCACTCGACACAAACTAGGTAATTTTGGTTCAATTGTATTCCAATAATTCGCTTGCGTGTAGTGGTCTTTAGCAGTGGGAGGAAACCGGAGAAAACCCATGAGGTTGGACAGGCCACCCTTCTCCTTGTCAAGTACAACCGTGGAATCTAAACCACGTCAGTGGACTCAATGACAGACCTTATGATATGCTACCCATTCGGCTACCCAACCCCCCTATAAGAGAGTGTAAGATTACATTTATTTAAAGAAAGAAATTAAAAAAAATAAACAAATGCAATTATATAAATTTCCTCATACACAACAATACCATACACCACTAGTATTAATGAAAAATGTATATAATAATAATAATAACATCATCATTTTTTAAAGTGTATTAATACTGGAGAACGGTTTCTAATGTGCTGTTCAGGTTCTTATATTCACAGAATACATGTATTTACATAGAGATCAGGGCTTGTGCCCATATACACTGTACAAAATTGAAAGATATATACCAACCAGTAAATAAAAGTACATATAAGAGAAAAACAAACAGTAATTACCTAAGTAAAATGGTTCTAGTAAAATGAATTAGAAATATAATGGTCTAATGAAGATGGGCATATACGCCATACAGTGTGCTATAAAGCAAATTTTGCCTGGGCACAGCACTATGGCCTACGTTTATATCAAATTACAACTGCCAAGGGATCTTTTTTGCGTGCACACCAATGTATACACAGGACCTCGACTAGACTGCTGTCCTTGTGCCTTGTCAGCCCTCCGCCTGCACCACTGACAAGGGGAAACCGTCGGAAATGAATTAGAATAAAAAGTAAAATAAAAACATATAGTAAGCATAAAGTGACAAAATATAATATGAAAATTTATTGACATGTACAGTACATTTAAGTAAAACATATTTAAAATATGTAATATTAAAAAACCGCTTACAAAAATACATATACAGGTGTAGGCCTACTCACATAATTTCATCAATATCATCATCACTATTAAAATCAATGTCACTGTCAGCATATGTTTGGCTGTCACTTTTATATTCAAACAATATACACAAAACCATACAAGAAAGTTTTCACTTGTAACAAGTACATCTATTACTGATCTATCTGTAAAAGTGTAATGCAGCTTGATTTACATTCACATTGAAAATTTTGTTTGGTGCTTGATCTCTAGTCACCCTAACCCTGTCATTTGTTCAATAGAGTTTAACAAGAGGGGTTTAAATTTCCACAGCTACAGTCAGGCAACCTGGGAGGAATGCGCCAGAATATGCCCCCTTTTTGACTGGTGATGCAAAGGCAGAAATAATTCTTCATACATATTTTTTTCAAAAAAAGTAAGTGCACTTGTACCTACTCATCTATTATGGTTCTAATTTTCTCCATAACATTGGGGTTGGATGGCCGAATTGTTAGCACGTTTGCACTGTATCATAAAGCTTGTCATTGAGTCAACAGGCGTGGTTTCGAATCCCCGGTTGTACGTGACAAGGAGTAGGGTCGCCTGTCCAACCTCGTGGGTTTTTTCTGGGTCCTCCCCTTTCCTCCCACTGTTAAAGACCCCTACGCGCAACCGAATTATTGAAATAAAAAAAATAAACCCTATGTTAGTCCCAAAATGACCTAGTTTGTGTCGAGTGGACGTAAAACCTCATTTCTCTCCCTCCATAACAACTTGTTGGGTATGAGTACTGCACATTGTATTTCACCTCAATAATGATGACACAGTCTTAACCATAGTGGTCTTCTGTCTTTGACTGAGTGGACTTCTCTATTGGTCTGAGTGGTCTTGGGCGGAGTAGTCCTTGGTCTGCACATTCCTGACTGGAGTTCTGATTCAGCTTTGTCCGGCAAATCGGCATTTGTCTCCTGGAAATAATTCCATCTAATTTGATCCACTGGTTAGCACATACCTTAAATTTTTCCCAGCTTGTCGCAGTGAACGGTTTTAGCTCAGTGTTTTAACAAAATGTACTCAAGCTATGCAGTTTTACTTTAGCTATCCTTCCGCCATGTACCGTTAATATCAATACGTAAACAATGAGCGTGACCTTTCACCACATGACCTGTTGAACTTTTCGTTGTGTATGTTTGATTGGCCAATTATGTCACGTGTTCTGTTTAAACCGAGTCACCGCGAAATTCAAATACCATTGCACATTGACAAGTAAGCCCATATTTAATTTACGTTTTCTCTCAAACGTCAAAGAATTGATAAAAGAAAAGTTGTGTGACAATACAAAGTAATACTAGAAGAATTAGATGATGTGTTGTTTTTTTTACCCGAAAATGGTTGGGACGGAGAAACAGAAGCAAGCTAGCTAGAAATTTCACACCACGGCCTATTTCACTATATTTTTATCTTTATACAATACATTTGTAGCCAAATTCCTACCAAGGGTGGCTTAAAGTAGACCACGTGATAGTAACAGTAGTGAAATGTCAACATACTCTATACTATACAAATCCTAGTTCTTCACCATTACCAAAACATGTATCATGTAAGAGCTAAATCTGTTATATAAATTATTAAGTAGACATTTATTCACATGCCAAACTTATAATCATCTCTCTAGACTATCATTATCATACCGCCGATATTTAAATGGATTTAAACACCCGCGAGATTTAAAAATGTAACGATAAAATGGATAATCGAGACTTAGTCTCGGTTGACAAATACCGTTGCTACGATGATAAACAATCTTCGAAAAGTGATAACTACGCCCAGAATAAAGAAATTTGAATGACATTTTCAATAATAATATATTCATTTTTCATTATCTATTGTTGAACTATTATAGCTCTGTATCTAAATCTTACATAACGCATCTCTATAATATTTATTTAATTATTTATATTCATATTTATATTGTTATTATTTATATTGTTATTATTTATATTGTAGCCGTAGCAACCAGACCAGATATAAACTATGATGAACTTAGTTTAGAGAGAAACTCGACGTTTGATATCGAATGTGAGGCAGAAGTTGGGTTTCCACCGGCTGAATTAGTTTGGCTGTATAAAGCCCAAGATTCGCCGGTTTTTCACATTCTTGGGGATGGAGACGAACAGGAGACGAACTCGATCACCCCATGTCGGAGATCGGCCGTTAAAAAACACCGATTAGAAGTGACAGATGATGTTGCTGGAAGTACGTTTAGATGTGCTTTACGTGGTCGACACACGGAAATAGATTTCTTTGATGATGTAAAAATACAGTTAACAGGTAAGTTTTAGTATACACATGCGTCTGGTAGTTTCTGCCCATGATTGGTCATCCACGAGGCATGGTTATGCTTACTATACGTATAACATCCGATGCCACCCCTTATTTAAAGGGTATTCCTAAATGGCATAAGACACCTTAAACCTTAAAAAATGACAATAAGTTATGATATATCCATTTAATATTGAGCCGAAAGGAAATGATCGCAAAATCTGTTTAACTTGTTGGGGAAATTTTCGTTTCTTAATTGTGATGTGTCATTGTATTTAATTCAAGATACATTATGGGAGATTCGATAACGAGTTGGCAGTTCTCACAAAAATACAATAATAGTTAAAAACTAGATAATTTGAAGGCAATTTGCCGAAAATTTCATTCAAATTGATCCACTATGAACCGAGAACTAAGAGGTTGAAATTTCCGCCTAGCCTCGATCATCATTACTAAAGTCAGTACGATAAACAGCATAGTCTCGATTATCCATTTAATCGTGAAATCGTGAAGGAAAGTTATGCAGTAAATCGGCTCATAATCCACTAAAGATCACAAGCTAGCATAACCATCTAGAGTTGATTATGGTCTGGATAGGTTAATTAATGTCTAATTAATAATTCAGATAACATTTCAGGCCTAAAGAAAGACCTGTAGGCCTAATAGGCAGATTTAACTCTTGCATAATGTATGTTTAATGACCGCGCTCCTAATCTATGATATTAAATAAGTTGTAAACTATGTACAATTTAAAGCATACATAAACACCACATCAGATCCGTCATCACATTATTTTGATATTGTTTTAGTTTGTTTTCTTTTTATTCCAGGTTTACCAACAACCCCAGAACCAGAACCAGAGTGTGATGGTGTAGTTTGTATTACTGAAAATGACGGTAAATTCATTATCTTTAACAATATGATTTTATACAATTAATCCATTTTATTATTAATACAGCTTTATTAATGACTGAAGAATAAGAACCATTTTCATTTGTTATTTTGTATTTCGTTCAATACCAATCCCCATGTTATCATCAAAGGGAAGTTACTACAACTAACAATTAATTATCTCCCCTTGACTTGAAGATTCTGGGCTTCTCGTTATTATTTTACGCCATGTCCAAATCATGAATATCTTTCAAAACCTGGCCGAAAATGTGAATTCAAACTTTCCGTTCACATTTACTCTATTAAACCTTGGGCCAGATTTCATAGTGTATTCCTTTGACGGATTCATTGTTAGTGGTTACAAGGCAATCACGGCCGACTTGACTGCTGGTGAGTGTATTTAGTGTGTCTGCATAGTACCGTTGATGTTTATTCTAAGAAATGGTTATACACATCGGGTCACACCTATACATAGAAACAAGGCAATATCATTTCATATTGCACCCCTCCAATAAATATTATTTCATACTACCACCCCCCCCCCTCTCCCCCGTACTATATTTTGTGTGTATTGATCATTCACTGTTTTTTTTTTTATTTTTCAGATTCAAGTAGTGTTGTGACGTATGTTTGTTATAATCTATTACTTTGTTGTATTTTATTAAGTTTTTTAAATAGTTTTTATCATTAATTAGTTTCAAATAAACTCAATGAACAGCGTTATCTACATAGTAAAGAAAAGATCGTAACCAAAGTGAACATCCCATATATTTGAGGTAGATCTCACAGACATTTATTAATTGGAAGTGGCACTAAATGTTATAAAATCAGTACGCATTCCGCTTAACTGGTCCCCTTACTTACTGAAACACTCAATGCTTCTGTTAGGATCAATCCACATAAAACAAGGGAGTTCCTGTAGGTTTCTGACATTGTCCTTCTCTTACAGAACAATGGACAGGTTATATCTCCATATAGATATCAGAAAGTTTTAAAGTACGTTTTAGTTTGATTAATTTACGACGCTGATTGTAAAACGCATTTTAATTTTAGTAGAGTTGTAACTGTACATGTATCTATATGCTGCTATCTTTTAATTTGGATAAAATTAAGACACATGTTGTTCAACATAGTATACCAGTACATTCATATTCTTAACTGCAGAAACCATGCATAAATCTTTCCTATTATCAAATTATTTATATAAGAATTATGTGAATGGTGATTGTGTATAGCAGCAACATTATTTATGTAAACATGCGATGTTTCTAATGTATTTATATATAACTGTTTTTATCTTAATTCCGGCAATTGCATAATTGGAATATATATGATTATTTTTTCAAATATTAACTTGCTGAGTGATATGGCTTTAGATCTACATTATAAATTTAATATCGATTGTCCTGGCTTTTTCAGTCAAACAAATCAAAATGTGTCCAGCTGATTATCCCACAGCGATTTGTTTTGGTATATCAAAATGGCAGGACCGCTTTGATTTGTGTCAAAAATAAAATAAATTTTCGATTTTTTTTATTTTATAATATGTTGACTTCTGAAATGATATAAATTGCATTTAACGTTGATTTGTAAAACTAATATGGGATGACAATTAATCGCCAGCGGTGATATATAACCGATTGTGTGTTCCACTGTCTACACACATAGAGTCAATAATGACATCACAATAAGTCTTCTGCTCAATAAATTTAGTGAGAAAGGGGTTATCTCATCCATAACAGCACACCAGATAGAGGTTGTGTCATCCGTAAACAACATAGCACACCAGCTAGAGGTTGCCCCAGCCGTAATCAAAACAGCACACCAGATAGAGGTTGTATTATCCGTAATCAAGTTAGTACACCAGATAGAGGTTGTGTCATCCGTAATCAAAACAGCACACCAGATCGAGTTAGGTTGCTTCAATCGTAATCAAAATACCACACGAGATAGAGATTGCCTTATCCGTAATCAAAATAGCACACGAGATAGAGGATTGCCTTAACCGTAATCAAAATAGCACACGGGATAAAGGTTGTGTCATTAAAATAGCACACCATATCAACCAAATGCAATATTAAAATTTGTCATAAATTATCAAGTTTAACGCTTTTAAAATTATAGACCAAATGCTAATCATTAAAGATAAACGCGGATTTCACCCAAAGACATTTGTAGAAAGTGCCACGAATAATTCTAATCGATTTATTGTTCAGAGTATTTGTATTAATTTGAGATTTTATAAATGGGCGCCATTTTATTAGTATTATATATATATATATATATATATATATAGTATCTTCAGTGTTAATATTCATAATATCAGTTTAAGTTGGTGCTACTAATATTACAGGATATTTTATAAGCCATCAGGTATACTTGTAAAACATCGATAAGGTCTTATATTATTGTCATTGAAGTCATTTATACTACTATCAGGGGGCCGTTCTAGTCCTACTAACTTCACTTGTAGCAACAACAGTTCGGTTAAATACCACTTTTTTTGTAATGGTGGTAACTGGCGTTATTGCGAAATACAAAATGTTACGCCAGTGTGTTATTATGGACTCGTTTGACACGTTACAGCACATCTATAAATTCCCAGTTCATACACGCCAGACACAGTGCATACGTCATATTCTCAAGTACATCGTTGGCATAGTTAGATAAAAATTAGAATAACGTTTCGTTTGGTTTTCTTATTTTTACACTACTTCCAATGGAACACAAAATATAAAACGAAACGTAATTTTAAACAGACTTTAATACAGACGCACGTGACGCCATTTTAGTAAAATGTGTTTGATCATTCCTTGTATAAATTGTAATAATGTCCTTTCATGTTTTAGAAGTTGGAAATGGTAAATTGTTTCAATTGAAAATTAGTTCCTTTATTTCTTTAGTCACCAAACATTGTTAGGGGTTATAAAGGCAAATTATTTCAATTGTAAAAATGTCCATTTTTATTTTTAATAAATAAAGATTTTTAGAAGTTATAAATGGTAAACTGTTTAAATGGGATAAATGCCCGTTTAATATTTCTTTATAACTAACGGATTTTAGAGTTTACAAATAAATGGAAAATTGTTTTCGTGCTATTTAATAATGGAAATAGAATTTCCTAGGACACAATGCTAAAGAATATGATTAATGTAGAGCAATGTTTCAATAATAAACAGTGATTATATTCTATAGAACTTTGTCCTGTGTATGTTATTATGTTATAAACAGTGATCATATTGTAAATAACTTTGTCCTGGGTATGTTATAAACAGTGATTATATACTATAGAACCGTGTCCTGTGTATGTTATAAACAGTGATTGTGATCTATAGAACGCTGTCTTGCGTAGTATGTTATAAACAGTTATTATTGTATTCTATAGAACTGTGTCCTGTGTATGTTATAAACAGTGTTATAAACGGTACGAGTTGAAAGTTAGTGTTCAATAAAAAAAAATCTGCTTGGTGTAATCGTTATTAATTGGTTATAATTTTATCTTATTTGTTTAGTAAATTTGTTGAAGCAAACTGGCTTTACGAAGTGTATTGTAAGATCATTTCAATACTTACAAATTATAATAACTTTAAAGGATCACGACGATATGTTTCCCCATACCTTCGATCCCTATTTAAATAAAGTGTCCTGTCTTAAACATACATTATGCAAGAGCTAAATCGGCCTATTGCAGGTCTTTCTTTAGGTCTGAACTGTTATATAAACTATTAATAAGACATTTATTAACAAAACAAGACCATAATCGACTCTCGATGGCATCGGATACTCGAGATTTTAACTAGATTAAAACGGTTCGCCATTTAAAAATTTAATACAAAAATGGGAAAGCGAGGCTGAGTCCCGATTATACCAGTGCCCTGGTTACCACTGTGCACACATCTTGTCAAAACTACAAACAATGATAACTTGGCTGAGAA